AATAACAATCTGAGCTCATCAGGGGCAAAAACAAGCCGTTTTTAATGGATGCATATCCCTGCAGGAGATTCACTGCAGCCAATAGAGTCATTTTCAAAGTTGCCAGCTGCAGTAACCAACTGGAGCGATTCCATTTTGTACCTTTTAGTCCTTTAGATGCAAAAATATTATAAAACAGGCAGAAGGTAGAAAATACTGGAGTTCTCTTTTAATGTAGAAGGAGTTGATTACATGCACGACAAGACAGCACAGCCGGGAAACAGAAAACCACAGCTTAGCAGCATCAGTACTGCAGAAATATTTATAACTACTCATTTACATGTGTCTCGCATACACACACTGTATGCATGTGAAATGTTGGACTACATGTGATTTTATGTGCTTCCAGTGGCTCTCCGACGTTGATGCATTCCCCGGTTGCGTGCTCCCATTCCCTGGCTGAAGTTTTGTGTGTGTCAGAGGCCAGGGCTGGTGCTGAAAGCCTGATGGATGGGGTCCAGGGGTCACGGACATCAGCTGTTGTTGGCCACATCACAACCCGGTGAACCACACTGTTAGCCTCGGGTTAGCACCAGAGTGCACAGCGCCTTTTTGGTGTTTTTCACTGTGAGGGAGGCAGGAAAGCTGAGAGGGTCGGAGGGGATATTTAAAGGGAAGATTCTGGAGGGTTCAGATGCCAGGGCCCGGCAGGGGTCTGATCAGTTCAACAGCTTTTAGCCTCTTTAACAGAGGGAGAAAACAAACAGTCGCTTCATCCTCAGAGTAAAAAGCTGCTGCTCTATTCAGGTGACAGCCTGCAGGCAATTAAACTACCATCCAATCACACTAATGATGTATCCATTTAAAAAATGATGAACTGAAGCTGCTTTAGATTTAAAATTTTAGAAAGTGGAAGAAAAATGCTGCCTGAATCTCCCTGAGTGTTTGTCTTTATTTATTCTAACTGGCTGAGAGCTCCTGATGGGAAGCTAAAAAATGCAGAAATCTGCTTTACTGGTACAGATAAAAACTTAAAGATGTTGTGATTAAAAACTAGAGTGTCAGGTTGAATAAGCGTGGGGCCAACAGCAGCAAAAGCCACATGTTGATATAGAGACGTGTGTCGCACAGAAACTGAAAAAAAGGGACAAATAGTCTGAGCTTTGTGTTGGAAAGCAAAATGTGATTCTCCTGACAAAATTGGGAGTCAGGCACGGCGCTGGACTCCATTTATATTTAATCAGGATTTTACCGTATATGAGGTTTCGGGCGCTCAGTGACCCCGCACAAAGAGAGAGAGGGAGAGAAAAAAGTCCAGCTTTCCTTTCCATAATGAGATATATGAACCTTTCATTGTTGCCACCAAGATGTCATCAGCTCTGGAAGGGCTTCTGCTGTGCCAGGAGCGGCGGCCACGTTGCTATGGCGACAGTTGGTGTTAAAAAAAGATGGTGGTGGTGGGCAAAAAACGAGAAGCAGGCCAACATTGCTTTTCGGGGTAAATACGAAGAGTGTGGCTGCAGCGACTCAGCAGAAGAATGGAAAAAAAAACAAAAAAAACAACACCGAGCAAATATGGACGTCTTAAAACACAGCACAAGGTGAAACCGAGCAAGAATATTGCAAAGGATATGAAATTATTTCCGATATGAGCCCAAGTGTGGAAATTCAATTTCACAGCTCATGAACAATATGAAACAAACATGGGGGCTGAAAGCGCGCACTCCAGCGTGAGTGACACTGAATCAAAAGGCTACACGGCAGACATAAAAGTGGATGAGGTGGGTGAAGGGCAGGCTAACGGCTAACGCTAATCCATAACTCCTAGAATCTCCATATTCAGGCCGTTTAAACTGCACATTAGCCACCAGATCTCCCCCTGCCCTGGGAGGAGGGGGTGGTCCCGCTTTCTAATGAACTGTATAATTAAATGAAAGCTCGGCTCGGCCCGCTCCGCCGTACTCCCCATTCTGAGGCCGCGATGCCCTTAACGAGGGATGAATTGAAATGAACGGCGGCAGGTGAAGGACAGAAGGACGGCGGGCTAATGCGGTGGAATGCGCCTTTAATGAAGAGGATGAAAGAGGGGGGAACGGGAGTAAAGGGAGGTCACTGTGGGCGCTCACCCATGCCTTCATTCTGCTTCATGAGGGGTGTATCGTCCACACACACACACACACACACACGCTGCATCCGTCTGTCGTTATGCGGGAGAGAGATAAGCGTTCCAGCTCTCCACTCTGCCCTCCCCAGAGCTCCCGCTTTTGATTGACACATGCTAACAAGCTAAGGTGTTCCGACAGGAGCGCTTGGCAGAATAGGTAATGCTGGGAGAACATAAACCGGGGAATTCTCCCACAACCGGCAAGTTCACCACAATCGGCGGGGGAATGGCTTTCCAAGAAGTGGAACAAAAATGGGGGCTTATGAGGTGTCAAATTAAATCAAAGCGAGGGAAAGCCTCAGAAGAACATGTGAGTGAATTTAAAGGGAGCAAAGAGGACCGGAAGGAATCAAGAACTTTAAAATATCAGAAGGGGAGTTGAGGTAGGACAAAAGGCTTTTGAAAAAGGGTGAAGTCTTCCATGAAACTTTTACATGTGCACTCCTGAGACGTGCGGTCTATTCCCCAAGTCAGGGTAGGATGGACCGTTAGATCGACAGGCCGATTGGGGCAGTGTCTGCTGTGTTTTGAGCGTTGTACCGGACCGTCGTGGGGAGGGAAGCTCGACCAGTTGAGGTGGTTTGAGCATCTGATTAGGACGCCTCCTGGACGCCCCCCTTAGCAGGTTTTCCAGCCACCTCACACGAGGAGAAAACCCCGGGGTAGACCTAACCTAGAGTTCGCAGGAGGGGTTATATATCCCATCCGGGCCTAGGAACACCTCAGGATCCTCCAGGAGCTGGAAGAAAGAAAGAGTCTGGGTTGACTTTCTTTACCTGAACCTTCCCTTCGGATACACTGAGGAGATTTGATGGATGGACTCTTGGAAGTTGTCCCTGAAATCTTCATGAGCTGCTTGTTCACGCATGCACCTCACAGAGTCTGAAGCAGCTTCAGAACGCACATGACGATCACTCACCTGAGGGATCTGACTGGAAGGCCTGCAGGTGAAGTTCCAGGTGAAGTGAGGATGAGTTTGCATCAACACATTGCAGTACATCCCGATAATTTGGGGACGTTTTTTAAGGAGTTTTGTTCATGAACGAAAGCACCAAGATATGAGGCATGAAAGTGTGTTGCCATGAGTGCCATCCATCTGACTTTGGAGACACAAAACACACACACACACACACTGTGAGTGATTACATAAAGAGCGGGTGTGTTACGGCCAAACAGTCCTGACAGCGATCGCGCAGCTTTTGTTTAATGGACCTAATTAATTCTGGGATGTTGGGTCGCCGTTGTTTATCGTCTCTGGCAGAGAACTGACCACAAGCACTTGAAGGCGGCCGTTTACTGCACAGTTATTCTCTTAAGTACAGCGAGGAGGCGGAGGAGCAGATTGAGTGCTGCGAGTTGTTTTAACCTCAGAGGGAACAAAACACCGAATTTCATCGGGGGAATGAAAAGACGTTCAAACATTCAGTTTTCGGCCTTTTTCCCCCCGCCAGTGTTATAACTTAATGCGCTTCCCTCACACCAGTGTCTTTGGTTGTTGCTGTCTCTTGATAATATGTTCAAAAGTAGTACAAAGTTTTTTTTTTCTCTTTTCTTTGTGTGACTGGCTGCTCTACCTCAACCTGCACCTATCATGGGGTTCTTCCTCCGAGGATCAGAGTGCTGCCAGTGCTGTTGGCTTTTGAGTAGTTAAAATCATTCAAATTCACAGTGAACATACACACATGACATCTGGCACGTTCAAAATATTACATGTTTTTGCTTATTTTAAGTCATTCCCCCCCCCACCACCTTCGGTTTAGTCACCAGGATGTTGTGCAGACAGCCGCTGTGTATTTTCCTCTTTATTGTTTTTGCAGCTTTCGTCTATTCTGGTTCATATTGTTGCCGTTTTGATTCCATGTGAAGAGGAATGTGTCACTAGGAGCATTCGTTTATTCTTCATACAGGGTGGGGAACTATAGCGCCTCACGTGATCACTGACGTTTGCCTCGGATCTACTGGATCAGGGAGAGACCAAACAGCCTCAACCCTGGCTGCCTGTGAGTTTTTATGTTGATTTTAAAATGATTGTAAAAGTCTATAAGGCAGTACATGGCTTTGCACCGGACTACATCTCAGAGATGCTTTTAGTTTAAGAACCCGGGACGGCCCCTCAGATCCTACCGCTCTTAAAAACATTTAGTGACATTTTTTATTGTTTTAATTATTTCCTATTGGTGTGCATTAGCCTCTACTTCTCTACCTCTAAATCCATTCTGGTTTCGACCATGTTTTGTCACTATTTCATGTTTTGTTTTTAAATTGCATTTGATTTGTACAAAAGGTGCTTCTTATATACATGAAGCTTGAGTGATTGATAAACTGGATTGACATTGGTTCTATCAGACATAATTAAATGAAAAATGATTTTAAGAGTCTGTATTGATGGGAAAGGTCTTCTCCTGCTCAGCGAGGAATCGGTCAAAGTGATGCAGAGACGAGACGGATCAGCAGAGGCCCGGTCCCTGCTGGCCTCACCGCTAATTAAACACTAACTGATAAGAAAAAAAAAAAAAAAAAAAAAAAAAAAGCCTTCTCCCCCATTCTAATTATTCCTCATTTCAAGTCTAATTCCACCAATCAGTGCCATCTTTATTTCTGAGAGCAAATTGGGCACTAATCATTTTCTAGTGGAGATTTCCCAGCCTCTAATTGTGGAGGATGATTTAGTCATTATCAGAACGCCGGCTACTCTTATCAGTCATCTCGCGGGCCAAATGTGTCTGCAGAGCGAGCGTGCAGAAATTAAGCAGGATCTCATAATGAGTGTCGAAAGTGATGAGTCATGGCGTTGTCTTAGTTTGACGCTGCAGTTTGAATATGCACATGAAATGAAAAGATGGAAGGCGGCACACGCTCAGGCTTTCAAGACTTTTAATGCAAAATATGTGTATAAAAAAAATCCCGAGTTTATGTGACAGCATGCTGAAATCAAAGCACCGCTCAGTTCGTGTTCAGTGCAGTGAATCTGGTGACGACATGTCAAAGGTTAAAATGTGAAACTGCTTTTGATTCGATGTGCTGCGTCTTTGTTGATTCAAACATTCCATGTTTCATGTTCAAAAACATCACAAAGGGTTTCTTTACAACACACCATCAGAGACATTTTAGAGACAAAAACAGGGGACAGGATTTCCAGAATCAAGTCGTAATAATCAGAGAATAAAGTTGGTTTCATTTGAATAATAAATTATAGAATTACATGAATTAAGTTGTGAAGTAAACAGTAAAGAAGTGGAGGTATCACGAGTATAAAGACCTACATTTAAGAGAATAAAGTTCTTAAACTAACAAGAATGAAGTCGCTGCGTTGGAGAAATAAATTATAAAACAACAAGATTAAAGTTGTTAATTTAATAGAAAATAGTCCTGATGCTATGAGAATTAAGCCGTAATATAAAGAGAATAAAGTCAGGAGATTATAAAGTCAAAAATGTTAAATTATGTGAATAACGTGAGGAGAAAGTTGTCAGATTTGGAGATTAATTCATAAAGTGATGAGAATAAAGTCTGCAGATTGAGGGAATAAAATCCTCCAAATACAAGACAAAGTCGTGACATTAGTGGGATAAATATTCCAAATACTATGATAATAAAGTCACATGATTATGAGGTTAAAATTCTCAAATTATGAGGAGAAAGTTATAAGACTTGGAGATGACGTCACACAAATTATGAGAATAAAGTCCTCAAAGTAATTCTGAAGGAGAATATCTGGAGCCGTCTATCGTCTGTGCTGAATCGAGGAACACGGGGCATCATGTGAAGTTAAGTTAAAATGAGTGAATATAAGCCGACTGCTCTTTGATATCCCCTTTCAAAATAAAATGTAAGACTTTAATATGACCGCTTTATTTTTGTCTTCTTTTCTCATAAACATAAAACTTGATTCTCTTAATATTACAACTTCACAACTTCTTCTCCAGTAATTTCCAACTTTAATATAAACTCCTGACTTTATTTTGAAAATCTCTGTTTTCATGTCTTTAATGTGGCTCTCATGCTTTGTCGTACATATTTAAATTGATACGTTTCACACATATACAGTAAATTGTTCATCCACTTCCAAATAATCAAAAAGACAACAAATAAAACCAGAGACCAAAGTGTGATCGCAGGACATACAGGAAGTCAGATACTTCACAGGAGTGTTACTTCCTTTTCCTGTTTGTCCACTCCAGCTTCCTGTGACTCCCCTCGAGGCGATCCCTCTAAACTTCCTGTAGTTTGACCAGCTTGTGCAAGAAGAAGCGTGGCCGCCCTGTGTGCTGGAATAGAGTTCATCTATACAAGTTTAAATTACGTTGCTATGGAGACGCAGGAACTGCCTTTCATTTAATATCAGCTCTACATGATAAATCCTGCCTGTAGTTATAAACATGAGCTCATTTGTCTATGTACAAAAAGTCCTTCAGCTTGTTCATTGTAGCCTTACCTCTGAAAATAAGAAGCCTCATGTAGCATCCTACTCGCTCTAATGGCTCCTGATCAGATTCATTCACATAAAGGTCGTTCATGTCTCCATAGTGTTCTTATGAGTTTCTCTTTTCTTGGTGTGACTTGGCTGCTCTACCTCAAACTGCACCTATCATGGGGTTCTTCCTCCGAGGATCGGGCTGTCGCTCGTCTCCGTAGCGCTCCGGGCTGGTGACGCGGTTCCTCTCGGGGCTGATGTAGCGTCCGGGGCTGGCCTGCCGGTATCCGTCTCCTCGGCCTCCGGCGGCCTCGTAGTACTGGCGCCCCCTGCGGCCGTCGCTGGGCGAAGGAGGGACGTCCTGCCTCACTGCGGCGCGGTGCTGCCCGGGGAGGGGAGATGAAGGGTAGTAGCGCTGGTTGCTTTGGACCTGGTGGGGCGGTACACGGCTTGAAACATTGGGGTCCTGGTACTGGGGGGCCGGCTCTCTTGGTACAGGTCTGGAGTGGGTAGGGTAATCATACGGATCCCTCCTGAAAGAGAAACAACAGATTAGAAACGAGCTTCTACACCGAGTAACTCATCCTCTTGGACTTTCTGACACCACTCTGTTGTTGTATTTGAGCTTGATCTGGTTCTCTGACCCGACACTCTCTGGTCTCTGTCTGGACTTGGTCTTGGTTATGATGGCCTTAAGTACATTTTGCATGCTTGAGAATACAGAGGAAGACAGTATTTAATACTGGTTTAAACTGGTTTGAAGTGCCAAAGATCCCCCCCCCCCCCCCCCCCCTCAGTGTAAAGCCTCCTCCTGTTATTCAGTTTACGTGGCCTTGGCAGGATCGAGTTGTGGGGGGAGACGTGGATGGAGAGATGCCAAGAGATAACAGCAAATGCCTTGGTAAGCATATATGAGGAGTGAGTGTGTGTTTAGCTTGTGTGTGGAGGAATGTGTGTGTGTGTGTGTGTGTGTGTGTGTGTGTCTCAGGGGGTCCGCAGTAACGAGGCAGCCAGCTGGAAGTCTCCGATTCCCTCCCACTAGCTCCGGGTGATTAGGGGCTAAACCCCCGGGTAAGGCGACACGCGGGACTCGGGGGAGACGGGAGGGGAGAGAGAGGAAGAGAGGGGACAGGAGGGAAAGTAAAAGAGGATAAAGATAAAGAGGGGGGGGGGGGGGTGCTCACCTTTCACAGGCCAGTTCAAATGTTTTCCATCTTATGAGCTGTTTCCAGATCTCAGTGACACGCATGTCGAGCGAGTCAGCACATCTGAAAGTCAGAGCTGCATCGGCCTGGCTGAGAGGAAAAGTTTCCCTTTCAACATCTTTACGTGGAGGACAACGGGAGCCGCCGGCCTACCACTGCATGCATGCATGCTGTGTACTCATATGTGACTGGTGGGTCTGTAGGGTTCAAGTCCCGCTGCAGACCCGAGCATGGACGTTGGTCTGGTTGCTGGAGAGGTGTAATCTGGGATCTTCAACACAGATTTTTTTCTGATGAATTAACAATATCACTGGTTGTTTCATTTCCTTGCAACAGTTTCAATTGTAACCGCGTCACTCGGGCGACCGGAGCGGCCAAAACAACGTTCAGACGTTTCCTCCCCCCGCCCCGCCCCTTCACCGGAGACTCTCACTGTAGTTATTAAACAGAAGCACCGGGCTTACAGCCTCTCTCTTGTTCTGCAATCGTATCCCCGCGTCTCACCCCCGTCCGCTCAGCACCTGTTGACTGGTGAATTAGAGCGACTCACTCACCACAGATTACACACAGCTTCCATGTGTCTGTGTGTGTGTGTGTGTGTGCGTGAGCGGGCTTCCCTTGAGGATATTCAGGGACTGACGTGAGGTGGATTTCTTTGTGTGTGGGTGTGTGTGTGTTTTCTGACCACCCAAACAGAGGCGCGGTGGGACAGGATACACAGGTGGTCTCAGGAATGAACAGCACCGCCTGTCAGTCAGCAGAGAACGGACACATGCACACATGCACGTTCAAGGCTTGAGAGAAGGAAGAAGAGAGGAATGGCGGAAACATAGGGAACAGAAAAAGAATAAGGAGCAATCCGAGACGGATCAGAATCAAGACATGGAAAGGAAGAAGCAGATGTGGAGGGACGCCATATACTGCTGCATGTACAGCTCAGCTCAGGAGAGGAAAGAGCCGGGGAGACGAAGGTCAACTTCCTCATTAATCCAGATTAAATGCTGAAGGCCACCAGGGGAGGCTCAGAGACGGAGAGAAAGAAGGATGGAGTGATGAAGGGAGAGAGGCAGGGGGAACACCTGGGTCCTAAACCGTCTCAGGGCCACCCAGGAAACTCCGCCAGCAGTCCTTCCTCAACCCCCCTCTGTGATCTTCAATTTCCACATTTTCCACTTGAATATTCATCTTTCTCTCTTCTCTCTTTCCCTCCATCACCTCTGCGACCTCCTCCTCATGCACTCTGTTATTTAAATACCTCTGTCGTCGCCGCACCTCCTCTTCCTCATCTGCAGAGCTGTTCTGAGCTCCTTCAAGGTAATAATCGGGGCATAGTTGGTGATGTGAGCAGCAGTAAATTCATTGAGAGAAACCCTTTAGTACAGTGTTCACTGCTCAGATGGAAGATTTACGCACTGCAAAAAGACACATTTAGGCACACTTTATGTTTGAGCATTTAAACGTCTGCTTTGCCCTTATTATCAGAATACGATATTCAATTGTTTTAAAGTGTTATTTGTGTCTAGTCTCATCAGATGTTTGTAAAAAAAAGCGTCATGGGTTTCTCATATTTGTTTACTCGTGCTAACAATCTGTTTTTTTTTTTTTGTATCTGAGGGGCGTGCTCGTGTTTCCTGCAGCTGTGCGGCTTCATTTGCATACAGAAATGTATTGTTTTGAGATGATAGCATGAAAGATAACACTCGGACATATTTTCTAGTATTAGACACATTTTTTTTTTTTTAAGTAATCATTTAAATTGTTTTGGAAAATCTTTGCCGGAGACATTTTCCTGTTTATTTTGAGTGTTTTTTCTTCCCACTTATATGATCATCAACTTCTAAAACTCTGCCTAATAGATTTCTGTATCAATTATTTTGTTGAATACTTCAACAACAGCAAAGACGAAAAGGAGTGTGAAAACAGGTGTGAATGCAGCCTTCAATACCTTCTTTGTCTCATTTTCCTGGATGTCTATGTGATTAATGAAGTGGGATAAATTCCTGTGCTGCCTTGGTACAATGACCTTTGACCTTTGCATGGCCTGGTAGCTGTGTGTAGTGTCGCCTTGTTTCAGCTCATGTTTACGTTTTGTTTTTTTCCAGGAAGGTGATGGATTTCTACTGTTTCATAACGATTATTTTGTAGAAACATTCAGGATGATGTATGTGCCAAACAATTAACAATCAGCGTTTGTGTTTCTGTGTGTGTTCTGCCAAACAGCTGGGGGGATTAAGGGGTCCACGGGCCTCAGTGACCCACAGAAAGCTCCTCAATCCAGGGGTCACACAGCTGGTTTCATCCTGACTGCAAATGGAGGGAAACGTCTGAGTGCTGCCTCTGCCATGTGGTTTGTGTTCAATATCTCAAGTCTCACATACATTAGGATTGAATTCAGCAGAATCAAACACTCCCAGCGTGTGTGTGTGTGTGTGTGAGAGTCAGTGAGGAAGAGCTCATGGTTGTGTTTGTGTACTCCAAGTGCCAAAATGAGATCTGTTGTTTACTCGTTCACTTGCGTAACTTCATCACAGACATGATTTGCTACGGTCCATGTGAAAATGTGAAAGTGAAAAAAAAGAGAACGGAGAAAGAAACACAAACAGTAACTGAAAACAGAAAGACAGAACGAGGGGCCAAAGACGGGGAAAGAATAAAAGAAAGTTTTATTTCTTATTATGCAAGAGTCCCAGCTGGTTTACGACCTGCCACTAAATCCCAACATGAGACTATCAGTGAGGGGGGGAAGAATTCCTTCCAGAGTTGATTCTTTTCAACAACAACAAAACATGCCAAACATGGCAGATTCCTGCCTCTATGAAACATGTCCTTAATGACAATTATAGCAGCTCCGCCAACAGCGCTAATCCATCTCAAGAGGAGCTTCTGACAACAAGACGCACGCACACATGAGGTGTGTTTTCATTCAGCTGTCAGGTGATCAGAACAACGCACACTTTGAAATGTCAAAATAGAAATAAAGACACATTCATCGAATGCAAATGAGATTTCCCCCCCGAGCGATGGGGAAACAAATAAATAGGTTTCAATTAGTGTCAGAGAAGAAGAATTTGAAAGTGGTTCCAGACTGGCTCAGGAGGCAGTGAGCTGTTCTTAGTTCATGTACTACAGCTTAAATAAAGACGACTATTCTATGTAGAGACTATTCTATCTATTTACAATACAGAAGTCAGAAACTCTCATTTTATCAGACAGACAGACAGACAGACGGACAGACAGAGAGACAGACAGGCAGGCAGACAGAGAGACAGGCAGAGAGACAGACAGACAGACAAGTCAGACAGACAGACAGACAGACAGACAGACAGACAGACAGACAGGCAGACAGGCAGACAGACAGAGAGACAGACAGAGAGACAGACGGACAGACAGAGAGACAGACAGGCAGACAGACAGAGAGACAGACAGGCAGAGAGACAGACAGACAGACAGACAGAGACAGACAGACAGACAGACAGACAGACAGACAGACAGACAGACAGACAGACAGACAGGCAGACAGACAGCAGGCAGACAGGCAGGCAGACAGACAGACAGACAGACAGGCAGACAGACAGACAGGCAGACAGGCAGGCAGACAGACAGACAGACAGACAGACAGACAGACAGGCAGGGAGACAGACAGACAGAGACAGACAGACAGACAGACAGAGAGACAGACAGGCAGGCAGGCAGACAGACAGACAGACAGACAGACAGGCAGACAGACAGACAGGCAGAGGGCTGTCTGTCCCTCAGAGGTTTATATTGAGCAGCAGAGCAGGGTGTGATGTGAAGCACAGGGACCAGAGAGAGAGGAGAGAGCTGTAATGACACGCCGTGTAATACATCTGACTCACACTTCAGGAACATCAGCACCATGTACCGCACTGCCACCACCCTCTGAGTGCGTGTGTGTGTGTGAATGTGTGTGTGTGTATGTGTGAGTGTGTATGTGTATGTGTGTATGTGTGTGTGTGTGTGTGTGTGTGGTGAGAGCAAATGACAGACTGAATATCACATCACATCCATTTTTAATTTTGTGAATGTGTGCTGGTGTGCTGTGAGAGTATATGATTACGTTCTGATCTGTAAAACAAAATGTGAGTGTGTGTCTATTTGTGTGTGTGTGTGTCTTTGTCTATTTGTGTCTGTGTGTGTGTGTGTCTTTGTCTATTTGTGTCTGTGTGTGTGTGAGTGTGTGTTCATGCCTGTGTGTCCATCTGGGACTGTTAGCGGGTGTGTTGCCGTTAAGCCGCTGCCGTATGACAGTGAGGAATTTGTGTGGACGGTGGTAGTAAGGGGAATGATGGGGGTTATTCTGCACCTGC